CCATAAAATGAAAAACAGATCTGGAAGGGGTTGTGGGATGTAAAAAAGAACTAATACTATTAACGGCTGATGACGGGAGCTTGCTGTGGTGATGTCGCAAACAGAGGCTTGTGCCTAACTCTCACAAAAGGATGTATATTAAAGGATTCTGTTATGTTCTCTGCTTTCTCAAGGGCACTGTCAATAACAGTCGTTCATTTTGGGACTCAGATGCAGTGCACTCCCCGCGTTGCTTCTCCTTGACCCCCGTCCCAGGCCAGGCTCACCAAGGTCGCCGGAAGCGGTGAGTGAGGAAGAGCGCCTGCGAAGGCGGCGACCGGGTGAGGTGTTTCATACGGGAGAAGCGGTCTCAGCCGTCACTGCGATGAACTGGATGACGAACAAGACCGAAAGTCAGATTGACCCCCTAAAGAAAAACATGTCTATAGGAACATTTGTCAACCACGAAACATCGCCTTAAGGGCTCTTCGTTTCATTTTTTCTCACAGTCGTCAAAGAGACTTCGGCCATGAACTCCATCGTCTTCGAGAGAAACAGCAGCTTTTCTCATCCGAGCCCTGCCCGGCTCCGAACCAAACCCCGCTCGGGCCTCCGACGTGCAGCCGCGGTGCGGGTGCCGCGCTGCGCCGGGTCCCAGGATCTTCGGCCCGACTGGCCTGCCTCCTACGCCGCGGCCGCACCGAGGAGCAGTCAGGGGCCCCAGTCACCCTCGCGGTCGATCATTTTGTAGAACAAAGGCACACAAAGACACCTGACTTTGAAAAACTGCTAGTCACGAAAGGTAGCCTAGGCCACCCGAGTTGTCTTTGATTTAGCAGCGCAATGTATTGGGGCTGGTGGAGTGCTCCGTTTTGGGGGGGCCCGCCCGCCGGCATTCGACTCCACCATGCGCCGCTGAAAATTTGGGAGTGATCTGGCTTATCCACTGTGGTCTATTGGAATCTGTGGTCTATTGCTGGCTGCTACTGCTGCTTGTTGCTGCTTGCTGCTGCTTGCTGCTGCTTGCTGCTTGCTGCTTGCTGTACTGCCTGCTCCTTCCTGTACTGCTTGCTGCTGTACTGCTCGTTGCTTGTTGCTTGCTGCTGGTTGCTGCTACTGCTATTGCTGCTATTGCTGCTGCTCGTTGCTGCTGGTTGCTGCTGCTGATTCCTGCTGCTGGTTCCTGCTGCTGGTTGCTGCTGCTGGTTGCCGCTGGCGGCGGCGGGCAGATACGAAGCCCAATAAAAAAACTTATGAAGGGGCGCCGCAGAGGGTTTGGAGTCCAGGGCTCCCAAAAAGGGCTGGTCCCACGGTCCCACCACAGCCTTCCCCCATCTAATTCTGCGCGCAAACGGGCGCCAGACGGCAGCGAGCCGCGACGCGCGAGAATGCCTAACGTCGCCTCAAACGTCGCCTGGAACGTTGCCTTCGGGAGCCAAGGGTGTCCAGCGCCAGGCTCGGACTGAGGCAGGGCGACTCCAGAACAGAAGGCCGTCCACTCGCAGGTCTTCCATGCGCAGGCTTCCAGTCCAGGAGGCGAGGATACAGGGTCGCTTTGGGTCGTTTCGGGCCCGGCCTGACAGGTTCGGAGCGTAGCAGCAGCCCAAGTAGGTGGCCACAGGCAGGTCTTGCTGGGCAACTGGCCGGAAGCAAGTTCAGCCACCGTTTCACCCTGCGGTGTCCCAGGCGCCACCCCAGGCAGGGGTCGGCGGACATCTTCAAACCGACTGAAGCTGGAGAACTCGGGAGTCGAAACCAAAAACGCCGTCGATGGCGGAGCGGTGCGAAGGACTCTCCGCCCGAGAACTGGGCGGATGACACTCCAAAGTACGAGCGATCGAACGCTACGAACGAGGCTCCTGGCCTCACAACAAAAACGCCGGCTTTGGGAAAAGACGCCGGTCCACGGCATCTTTGTCCTGAAAAAGGACAACGGCTTAGGCCGTTTCGAAGATCCAGGTGTATATATTTGGACCCAACTAACACCTGTTTTGATAGGAAAAGGCCTTAATTTGGGTGTTTGGTGGTCCAAAATAGAAGTCATTCACGTTCTAGGTATAACTAGATAGCAAGACCATAATGAACATCGTCTTTCGCGGCCCGATGCTGACGGCGAAGAACCCCACGCTCGTCCAAGGGCTGGATCTTTGGCTTTGTCTGGCAGGCAAGGGGTGCCGAACCGAGGGCGGCCGAGGTGGCCGAGGCGGTTTCAGGCGGCCAAGACCTGAAGCAGCCTAGACCCGAGCGCTGTAGGGTGCGATTTGCACTCCAACTTTGGAACAGGAATCCAGACAGACAGACCTCTCAAAAAAAAATGAATGTGTTGCTGGGGCCGGCAGGCTGCTTGCCGGGGCCCGGTGAGACGCCCTTTGGTGACGGTGAGACCATGTGAAACCTAAGCCGGTTTGCGTTGTTCTAAGGGGTACCCGCCCGCACCGTTTCGCAAAGAAAACGGTGAACAAAGAATGTTTACCGTTTTTACCGCGCGCGCGTGCCTCGCGGGAACCCCGTAGCTTGAGCAACACCACTTAGCCAGCACAGGGCCCTCTTGACCACGAGCCCCCCCGCCTTGAGGCACGTGGATGAGTGATGAGCTTGGTGAGTTGAGCTTTGGCTGGTGATGTGTATGCCGCGTGGCTCGTGGTAAGTTGTTCTTTTCTGCGTCCCACGGCAACGGGCTCCTGTCAGACTGTCGACTGATTGGGCGCCAGGCCACAAGCCAAAAGTGCCATGGCGCAAAATGTGTTTAAACATGTTTTTTAGAGTGGGAGTTCTCTTGGGGATGTGCCACCGCAAAATGCGGTGCTTCGTTGATGTTCGGTTCATCAATGTCTATTTTCCTCCATCGGTCTGCGGCCCAAAACCCCAAAAAGTCCGTCGGAATGTAATTTTCCGCTGAACATTTGGGTCATGACGGGTCATGGGTACAGCCCGTAGCTCGAGTTGTTTCGATTTGGACATGTGAACTAACCAGGGTTTTCCCCATTCCTGGGACTCGGATAATGTGTGGAGTGTGAGAATTCTCCACAAAGTGTACGTTTCTGAATAGGTCTAGATTTGTTTAAACGAGTTTCATCTCAGGTTCGCCAGGCCTCGCTGGGTTCCCGACCCCCGACATGGTCGACCAATGTTTGGTTCTTGAAGAGGTGGGAAGAATGATGGAGTAACTCCAGGTTGTAGGACATATCTTAATCAATGTGGGTGGAACATGAAACTGGCTTGCAAGTGGCTGGTGTCTTTGAAGCTTCCACACGTCGAAGGAGTTTGTTTAATGTGCGACGATGGGAAGAGTGTGCAAGATGTCACATTGAATCATTGTGTCGGCCATCCCTAGTCTTTCACCAAGTGACATGTTCCATCACCGAGATATCAAGGGCATTGAAAAGCGCAGAGAGGACCTTGAAATAGGTGCTGAAAAGTGCAGAGAAAACATCAAAAAGGGCAGAGTGGAAGGTCAATTCTTGTTTACTAACAATATCTAACAGTAGATTTCGTCCCTGTGAAACAGCCTGTATGCATGACGCCTTCATCCAAGACAGGAGCCCGTCTTGACTTCAATCAAGCATGGTGCATCTATCACTGGCTATACTCCCCTGCCACGAATGATGAGCAGCGTCCGATGTTGTGTTTTTTACATCATTGCTGTGTTTTACCTCATTCAGTCACGGCGAGCAGGTTTCAGCAACAAGTCTGCAACCTTGCACAATTCGAATCCCCTGGGATGCCACAGAGACAACCAAAAAGGTGTCTCAGTAGGTGTTCCTTGGATCTTGTTGCTTTCAACATCTTTCAACATTTGACCCAGTTGCTGTTCGATCTAGCCAGGA